GTAGATCTTGATTTTAGAAGAATTTAGCAACTTGAACCACCTAAAACGGATCTACGGTTATTTAGTTATGATTTTCCGAAGTTTTAATCTATTAGAAAATTGGAAAAAAGAAAAGAAAAAGGAGATGATGACGTCATGCTGACGTCAGCAATGGCGGCCGGTTAGGGTTTGCGAGCTCGCCGGAGCTAGGGCGGTCGACCGGGGGATTGGAGGACACCTACGCGTAGAGGACATCGAGACGAACCCGATGGTACTCACCACGACGACAAACGATGCACGACGACGGCCGGCGACGAGAGGGCAACGGCGGCGGCTCGGCTTGCGCGGCGACGGCGGGCTACGGCGGTCGGCGGCAAAGAAGGATGGGCGGCCGAGCTTCTCCTCACCACGGCGCTCCTATCAGCGGCGGCGGCAAGCGGCGGCGACGGCGGAGGCGGCGCAGCGACGACGCCGAAGACGGCCGGCGGCGGCGGCGAGCTTGGCGCGCGTGGCGGCGGCGCTATGGGGCACGGGAGAGGACGGGAAAGGGGGCAAACGGGAGAGGACGACGAGGGGATGCTTTATAAAGCATTAGATTGAAGAGATTGGACTCCAAACGAGAGGAATCGACTCGGGAAAAAATTCAAACTCGGTTTTAGGGATAAAATCAAAACGAACTCGATTCGGATCAAATCCTCAACGATTCGCTCCGATTCTTGGGGGAAAAGAAAGAGGAGAACGAGAGGAACAAAACCCCTCAAAAACCCGGAGGAATCGGGGTCGGATTGAGGCGGATTTGGAGGTAGAAGGCGGCGGCAAAGCGGCGGCTCGGGCGGCTCGGCCGGAGGTTGAAGACGAGCCCGACATGTGGGCCCCACATGTCGGTGACTCGAGAGAGAGGAGGGCGGGCGGCGGCTGGGCCGGCGTGGGCCGCGCGGAAGAGAGAGGATGTTGGGCCGAATTCGGCCCAACGGCTTAGGGAGGGGTTTCTTTGAACTTTTTCAAATAAAACAATTTGTGAAATGTTGTTTCAATTAATAAAAATACTTCCCTTGCTCAAATAATTCCCAGAAAAATCTAGAAAATAGAGGAGCAAGTATAGTATTTAATAAAATTTTATCTAGCTCATTTTTATATTGAAAATTTTCCTAGAAAATTAGGGTTTAGCTTGTAGGCTTTTAAAATAATTTCTAAAAATGATTTAAAATATGCATTTTTAATTTAGTTGATTTTTAGGGCGTGACAATCCCCTTACAAAAACAGTTTGAAAATTTTCAGAAAAATTTCTCTGAGGCCGATCTGACCGAAGGTGTACAGCCGGTCTGACCAAGGGTCGGTCTGACCACTGCTGTACCGTTGGTCTGACTGGTGCTCAGTCTGACCGAAGCACAGCCGCCGGATTGACTGGTCGCCGGTCTGACCGCGGGACCCATTGCGGTCTGACCGGTTTCCTCGAGAAAACACCAGATTTTTGCCACTTTGATTTTGCAAAAGCAATTTCTCTCTGCTTTTTCTATCTATGAGCTAATCTAAAACAAAAACCAACAAGATGTCCATCTTTACCACAAAAAGAACAAGCATCCTTTTTCTTTAGAAGAAGATGGTTTTGAAATATTTGTTTTTGTTTATTTTAGTGTTGTAGAAAGAGAGGGCATAACTCCAGCAGACTTGAAAACTGTTTTCTTAGCACTAGGTTTGGTCAAAATTTAGCCATGTTCAGTCACACTCAAAACATTGGGTTGATTTTTTATTGAAAAAGTCATGAACATCAAAACGAACACCCCTATTGTAGCTAGTCACTTTAGATTGATCCAAAATAATGTTAAGTTGTTTCTTACCATCAGAAAATCTTTGCAAAGAACTTTTCAAATAAGAAACCTATTTTTCCAAATTAGCACAATTTTCACAATCTACCATGACACTTTTGCTTTTTCGACATTTGGGGCAAGAAAGCACTTCATTGGTTTTCACAACATCTTCCATGTACTCAACACGACCTAAAGCATGTTTTAGTTTCATCTTGTTTAGTGTGCATATTGAGCAATCAAAAACACTTTGTTGTTGTTGTTTTAACTTTTTAGCACAAACCATGTTAAACATCAAACTAGCATGAAAAGATATTTGATATTTTTTTCAACAACTTTTTAGTTAAAAACAACTCATCCAAAGTACGTGTGTGCAAGACAAAACCAAGAGCAAGACAAGATCTATTTTTCAAATGATGTGCAACGTTGACATCTCTAATTTTTGAAATTTCATGCATTAAAACCTCACAATTTTTGCAACCATCATCATTAGGAATAAGAGATTTTAATCTATAAATTTTAGAATTAAGGGATTCAATAATAAATTCCTGTTTTCTATACATCTTCTCACACTTCTTATTTTTTGTACTTAAAATAAGAATAGCTTCCTCAAAAGAACTCACATCATTGTCTTCACACTCTGAATCTGATTCACCATGTGCCATGAAGCAAACACCGGAGATGTTCTTTCCCTTATCTTCATCTTCACTTTCTCCATCTACATCGCTTAGTGGCTCAAAAGCGGCATAGACTTTCTCAAACATCTTCTTGAGATTCTCCTTGGTCTTCTTCCCCTTGAATGTGCTCTTAGACTTTGTTCTCCTTAGTCTTCTCTCCACCATTGTCTTCCTTTTTGCCTCTCCTAAGCTTAGGACAATGCGAACGATTGAGATCAAGAGCACCACATTCAAAGCAACGATCGATTTGGACCACTTCTTTTCCTGTACCTAACATTATTCATAGCTCGAGAAAACTTATTAATGACCAAAACCATGTCCTCCTCCTCGAACTATTCGAGTTGCTCATTCGACATGGCATTAATTAAAGCAAGAATAGTAGTAATTCGATGAAGAAGCACCAACATCCAAAGAAGTCAAGGAAGAAACCAAATCACTAGACTTAGAGTCAACTTTACAAGAAATAATATTCATCTCATGTGTTTTGAGTTTTGTGTAAAGCGAATCCAAAGTCAAAGTAAACATATCAACAGACTCCTGAATTGATGTAACTTTCATCTCCCAAATAGACATGTCAAGACCATTCAAAAAGTGACGAGAAACCTCAGATTGTGTGTAATTTATATCATAAGAAGAATCAACAGATTTAAGATCACTAAAAATTTTTTGAACCTAGAAAGATAGTCATTCAAAGCTTCTCCAGGTTTCATCTCAAATTTTATATACTCCTTTTTGAAAAGTTATCGATGAAGTTCTTTAATATTTGAAGTTCCTTGATGAAAGTTTTTCAAAGCGTTCCAAATCTCATTTGCAGTTTCAAGATGCGAAATACGATCAAAATCCGAACGAGAAATCCCACCCAAAAGAATATTGTGAGCTTTGCAATTATTTTCAAATTCAGTTTTTAAAGCAATAGTATTAATTTGATCAGGAATCACATAAGGATTAGAAACTTTTCTCAAAATATCAATATACTCAATCATAATGTAAGATTGCATCTTACTACACCAATAAAGAAAATCCGTTCCATCGAAAACATGGAGCTTAGTTGCAAACTTATTAGCCATGGCAAAAAAAACTCTAGATCAGTTAAAATCCAAAAAAAAAACAAGGTTCTAATACTACTTGTAGGATCGAATAGAAGAACTAAGCCAACCAGAGGGGGGGTGAATGGTTGGTATACCCAAAAACCCAAACTTTTTGTGGAATTAAAAGTTACACTCAAATTCGACGGATCGTGGTCTGACCGAAGTTGTCCCGTCGGTCTGACCACACTTGTGCCGTCGGTTTGACCGATGTAGATCGCCCGGTCTGACAGCCCCGAAGTCGCCACTGCCTCCTGATGCCACCGCCGGTCTGACCGCTGCGATGCCGTTGGTCTGACCGCCGGTGTTTCGCCGGGTAGACTGCTGAATCCGCGTAAACACAAATTGAAGAACTCAAGATGTAGATGACAACTTTATTACTTTTCTCTGTGTTTACAAAGTGCAACAACAGCACTCCTCATGAAAATCTCGACTAAACTCGAAATCCTAACTAAACTATCAACTCAATGGTCTCAGAAGCAATACCGGGAAGCCTCACGCTCCCTCTCTATTTATACATAAGGTAGGCAGCCTAAAGCCACGAACCAAACTCATACTAGAAGTCCTAATCCACATAGGAAACCTTCCCGTACAAAAAACAAACATTACAAACTCCAATCATACCAAATTTGGCCTTCCAAATTTAACTCCACATCCCATATGCACACAATACATCCATCGTATGCCATATGGAATCTTCACCAACCACGTGCATTGAATTCTAGCCTAAGTATCCGCATGATATCTAACCATCACGGACGTCGCCTTATCCCCAAGTCGACTCCCGATCTATCACCAGCAATACTCTCTAGAGACATCAAGTCACCTATACATGAATCAAACAAAGAAACCATATTCCGAGACTAAGCTATCTCCAACTTGACTCATTGTTAGCAAACAACAGTATTACATACGAATAGTATCCATCTAGAAGCCATAAACATGAAACAATCATGGATATCCAAACAAACAACCCGAAACCGAAACCGACACAGAGTCGGCCGGTCAGACCGCTCGCATAGCGCCAGTATGACCGGCAGCACCTGCCCGGTCTGACCGTACCCGACAAAACAGCAGCACCTGTTAATCACTTGAAAATCCAATCATCTCCAAAACCACTTCGCCAATAATCTCTAAATATCAAAACCAATAATTACAAATGCCAATTGTTCATCACAAAATAGGACTCAAAAACACTTTGATTTTACATCCAATACCTATTTAGATGTAGGTAATTGGGAGGGAGTTCTTTTCTAAGTACGATGTGATAAATATGAGCCATACATTATCACTTAAAATTCAATTCACATCCATACTTCCCATGATTCTCATCTCTACTATCAAACAAAGGAATAGGAATAAAAATGAAACTCCCATGATCAGTCGTCCTCTAAACTTCCAATCCGCTTTCCATCTCTTGCCAAACAGGCAGTATAAGGCCTACACAAGAACTATTTCAATTCAAAAATTCATACAAATCTCTATCATTTGCAGGGAGACCTAAATAAAAGCGCAATGGCGTCTTACATAACATTATCGAACATTTTGCATTAGCATTCATGTTTCCTTGGCCACAGCACGAAGTGGCTTAGCCATGGACAACACAAGACCAAACTCTTCTGCCATGTCCAAGTCATCACCCTTAACTTCATCAGGGATCGTCCACTCAAACCGATGCAGTAGTGATGCAAGCATCAGATGCAGGCATGCAGCATCCCTTCTGCTAATGGCATCCCAAGGCAGATGCGTCGTCCAGCACCAAACGGTATGAACTCAAAATTGGTTCCTAGAAAATTTATATCTCTACCCAAGAACCTGTATGGCATGAACTTGTCCAGATCATCCCAAATCTTAGCTCTCCTACAAATTGCCCATATATTCACATATACAGTTGTTCCCTGAGGTATCTTGTAGCCCTGGATTTCTACTGTGGCCTCAGCCTTGTTGAATGCTATTGGAACAGTTGGGTGAAGCCGGAGGGTCTCTTTGATGACAGCTTGGAGATAAGGAAGCTGGCTGATGTCTGATTCTGCAACGTGAGTTTTTGTGCCCATAAGGCCTTTGAGCTCCTCTGGAAGTTGTATCATGGACTTTGGATTTTGCAGTAACTCTGCCATTGCCCACTCTATTGTACTTGAGGTTGAGCCGCTTCCAGCGACGAGCAAATCCTGATAAATTGCAAAATATGTTTAAAACTAAACGTGCATTCCGTATGTGTGATGTGTCTTCCATATTAACTCAAACAATTCATACACCTATAACAAAATAAAGCTTAGGTGGACTTACGTATTTTCCTAAATACTGCCATTTTTGGCAAAAATATCATGTACTATCTTTTAGGTATCTAATGAAATAAACATAACAAACTTTTACTCACTGTAAAATTTTGCAAAATTGGCTGTCGAGAGAAAAAAAAACTGTATTAATAAAATGAAATTGAAAACCTGTAAAAATTGAATCACAATGGGACAGTATTAATATTACCATGAACATTCCCCTCATGGTGTCTTGGTTCATCACCCATCCTTCGCTTTCCACTTCTCCTTCCATGTCAAACGCCACATCCAGCAAGTCATTCTTGCGAGGCTCGCAGACGATGCGGCGGCGCCGCCGCCGGTCGATCTGCACATCGATGATGCCGTACACCCATCCGACGAGATTATCCATCCTTCGCCGCACGCCCATGACGTCGGCGGCAGCGATCACCGGGAAATAGTCAGACAGGTTCGGCGCTCCGGCGACCACCACCGCCTCCTCGATGACATCCCTCAGCTGCCGCGTCGTCGCGGCGTCCATGTCCTCAGAGAACATGCTCCACCACAGCACGCCAGCCACCGCTGCGAACGCCTCGCGTGCCACCGACACCGGCATGCCCCCGGCGCTCCCGTCGGACACGCGGTGCGCGAGCTCACGCGCCACCTCCTCCCGCATGGCATGTGTCACACCCTGAAGTTCTTCTCGCAAGTCTAAATTAATTTAATAAATTACCTCAAGAAATTATCTGTGTATTGGCAAGAGAGAAACCCTAATTTAATAAATGCAAATAATAATCGGAATTGGCATATGGAATTTTTGTTCACTTCTACAAGTCAAAATATGCTAACAGGATTTTCAGTAGAATTTTCAGAGGTCAAGAAATAATTTTAACCAATTAAAAATGAACACAAGCAATTATTAAATCCCTTGAAATCCCTTTTTTTTTCCCTTTTTCCTTCGAGTGGGCCATCGGCCCATTCTCCCCTCCCCTCCCCGTGCGCAAGCTGGGCTGGCCCGAGGCCGAGGCCTAGCAAGCGGCCCAGCCGCCGCCTCGCACCCCCCTCTCCCTCCCTCTGGGTCACCGACAGGTGGGGCCCACCTATCAGCCCCGTCCCCTACCTCCGGCCGGCGCCGCCCGCGCCCGCAACCGCCGCTCCCGCCTCTCCCGCACACGCCCGCGCATGTCGCCCACTCCCCGCACTCGCCCCGCACGTCCCGCAACTGCTGCCCCTCACCCGCCCATGCGCCCCACCGAGATGGCCGGGATTCAATTTTTGAATCCCGCCTCTATCTCCTCCCCACCTCCCCACGTCGCCGGCCGATTCCCGCGCCTCTCGGCTTCATCTCGCCCCCTTGTGCCTATAAAAAGCAACCCCGTCCCCTCCTCTACCATTTTCCCGTTCTCGTCGAGCTCTCCCGTGCACTCCACCACCCTAGCGTCGCGCACCACCCGCTGCCGCCGCTTCAGCCACCTCCGGCCGCCACTCGCCGCCACTCGTTGCCGCTAGAGCCCCCGCCGAGCCTCGCCGTCGCTGCCGTCGGGTTCACAAGCCCACGGGCCACGCCGCCCACCCCTTCCCCGTCCAATGCCGCCGCCGGAGTCCGGCTTCCACCGTGCGCCGGTCAGCTCGCCATTGCCACCTCCTTTGGCCGGCGATTTTGCCCATCTCGCTCCCTCTCTCCCTCTCTAATCACACTCATTTGCTTCCCTAGGTTACCCCGGAGCCCGTCCCGCCGTAGCCGTCGCTTCCCGCCGCTCACCGTCGTCGATCGCCGTCGGTGAGGCCCCTCCCCTTCTTCCCCTCTCTCTCCCGCGCCGCCTAGCGCTGCTGCTGCTTAACTGCCAAGCCTCCGCGCCGCCGCCTAGCTGCGTTGCCGTTGCTCGCTGCCGTCGGCTGCGCCGCCGCCTAGCCGTGTCGCCGCCGCTCGCCTCCTCGGGCCGCCGCGCGCCAGGGCCACCGGGCCAGCTTAAGCCGCCCGCGCGTGCGCTCGGCCGTACGCCGCCTTCGCCGTCTGATCTACCCTCGGGTAGATCGGGGCCATCCGTTGCCGCCCGCGTGGCAGCCCACGTGGCCGCCATGTGTGCGCCACGTGGCGCTCCCCATCCCCGATCCCGTGGACTCGGTCCACTGTGGACCAGCGGACTTGAGCCGATGACTTGTGGGGCTCGCATGTCGGCGCCCCCCCCCCTTCGCTGACGTCACCAGGGTTAATTATTGTGCAATGAATCAATTAAGTTTTTTCTTTTTATAGTAAAAAAACACAGTGAATCTTCTAAAATTCATAGATAATTCATCCGTGCTCTATAAGCCATTCAAGTCTCAGTAAATCAAGAAAAATTCAAAGAATCCAATTAAAATGGTTTTGTTCTCTATTTCAGTAGTCTTACAGCCTGTTTGCATTGTTTGCTTTGTATGTCGCATAGATTCCGACTCTCCCGACGCTCCAGTGTACTTCGAAATAGTCGCCGAGGTTCCTCCAGCCACAGAGCAAGGCAAGTCATGATTGTCACTTGAACATGTTGATCCCATATTGGAAATGCTCTATTGCTTTCCTTTAAATATTGCATTGTTTTATAATGTTACCATGGGATGATTACCTACTGTCTCAGCCATGCATGTTATTTGATACCTTTATACTTTGCTAGCTTGGGTTGTAACATGATTAGATGTTGGATTAGGGATTGCTTAGCCATGCCTAGTTCAACTAGTACACAATGGGGGAACTACATTAATACATAGACTTCAGATTCTAGTATTGATGTTGGATTAGTGCCACCGCTTTGGTGTTGGTTAACTAAAATATATTAAATGGTGGGCTGTGGGTGCATGGCTTTGATGGTCGCGCCCATGGCAATTAAGGACCGGTTCGCGGGATGCCCTGGAAGAATTTATCGTACTTACCACAAGCCAGCGTGGACAACGGCTGGGCTTGTAGTGTAGCTTTCCTCTAGCTGACGCATCCAGGCAAGGGTAGGCGTGATGGAGCGGGATGGGCCCTGCGACGGCCTTTGGTACTTCCGGATTCACCTAAACACGAGAGGGGACTGCCCGCTGCCTTGCAAGGAGTGGGGGTGAAACCTGAGGTATGGTGTGTTTGGTTAGAGGGGGTTATGCGAAGGGTCCTATCACGGCCTCTTTCCAGTATGCCGTGGTGGCATGTCGGCGCACGGGAACGTGTCGTGGGGCTGTGTCTTGTGGGTACAGTTGTACACCTCTGATCAGAGTAAAACTATTCGAATAGTCGTACCCGCGGTTATGGGCGTTCAACCAGATTCAACGTAATTAGTCTCACCCTAGTTTAGTCTAATGGAACTGATTAGTTCAGGTGGTGGTTTGGGCCTGTCCCAATGTGGTGTAGCGTTGAGCAGTGGCTGGTTTAATATTGGCTAATTATCACAACTGTTTTACTGCTTTCAACTACTGTTTATAAATGCTAGCTTTATGCAAATGAACTCCTTTAGCCTCCTTTGGTTATATCTTGCATCATACCTCCTCTTCCGGTATGACTTGCTGAGTATAGTGGGTAGTACTCAGTCTTGCTCTCTCTTCTCCACACCAGAGCTGAAGTTCTTCCCAGTTGGAGCCATCCCGAAAAAGTTGGTTTTGTCGCTGCCATCAAGGATGCCTGTGGAATGAAGTCACCTGCTGTAGGAGTCAAGTCTTCAGGCTTAGCTCGCTTTTACCTTCTCTGCTGCATTTGTAATCTTTTATATTTTTTTAAGCCGTGGATATGTATGTCAACAATTGTTGTTTGTGTACCCTAGCTGGTACTGGACAGGGGTTTAATGCACATTTAGCTTAGAAATTATAGTTCATTAATTTCTGGGCATGAAAGTGCGTAGCCCCGTGAGCCGTCTCGGCGTGAGCAGTGTCGACGTTTGATGTCGCGATTCCGGTATTTGCATAGTATGGGGATCGTTGGTATTAGGATATATGCGAGACTTAGGTAAAAGAGACAGAGGCGAGGATTTTTCTACAGGTTCGGGCCCTAGAATTGTCAGGTAATAGCCCTACATCCTGTTGGCCGAAGCCGGTCGTTGCTCTTATTCACCATAATCACACCAGTACAATATTTGGGGTAGCCTATCTATCTGTTGTCGACATAGCGGACTGAAGTATCATCACGTAGTCGACAACAGGGTAGTCTTCCTCCTCGAATCTGTGCCCGGCGAGATCAAATACAGCGCTAGATTCCTCTCTTTGGTTCCCGTAGATACCATATGAGGTTTTCCTAGGCTTATCTCTGATATCGATATCTGGCAGCTTGTCTTGGCGTATGTAGGCTTGTATTGGCTTGTGGTTTTGTGGCGTCTATGTTGTCCGTGTCCCCTCTCCTCCTAGAGGGCGTTGTATTTATACCCATAGGTGTCCTCTTGTCCAAGTAGAACTAGGAAGACCAATATGGATACAATCCGAGTACTCCTTGTCGTTTCCATGTAAAACTCTAGTTGTCTTTCTTTATCCGGAACTCCCTCCATATCCGAGGTCAGTTTCCATATAAAACATGGTATGTGATGGGTCCTGCCGAGATTTAGTCAACTACTATTAGGTATATGGTATCCATAATCCTAACAAGCAGCTCCTCCGTGCAGAGCATTCTCATGGCGCACCACTTCCAGCGCGGCCACAGCGCGATGCTGGAGTTGGCGTGGTGGCCGCAGGCGTGCCACGAGTCCATACCGCCGCGGCCGGTGATGTCGGCGTTGTTCCTCTGCAGGATCTCCCTCGCGGCGTCCGCGGACATGGCGACCACGGCGCGGACGCCGCCGAGCCTTATGGACATGAGCGGGCCATAGCGGTCGGCGAGGCGAGCGAACGCGTGGTGCGGGTTCTTGCCGATGTTGTGGAGGTTGCTGATGACCGGCAGCCGGTGAGGTCCTGGCGGAAAACGGCGGCGAGCATCGAGCAGAGGTTGGAAGATGTAGGAGATGATGAAGACAAGGAGAAGAGACGAGATGCATAGGTGGAAGAACGCCATCATTCTAGCTTGCGAGTTGCGACACTATGCAAAGTGCGCATGCATTGGCATTTGGTTCTATTTTGCTAGTTAGTTCTGTCAATTTTTTTCCGAAATTGCCAAAAAATACTGTCGCAAGTTTTTTTTAAAAAAAAACTTTCCAATGTTACTGTAGTTGCAGTGTAAGTATAATGTACATTACGGTGTAACTGCATTTAGATATAAAGTTGCATGTATTATTTTAATACTTATATACAAATTATATTATATTAGTTATAGTAAAATTATATTATAATTATACTATAGTTAGATTTGAAAGTTTTTGTCTTAAAAAACTCGTGGCAGATTTTCTTTTGATAGTCCTTTTTTTCTTATATATTTTTGAATGTTGGATGCCGTTTATTTTTTACACATGTGTTGAATCATTTCTTTTATAAAGCAAATAATATGATTTTTATTTATTTTGATTTGTTTTGTCACTGATGGTACTTTAAATATGACTAATATTTTTCTACATTTACACAAATTTTTTAACGAGAAATTAGTTAAATGTATGTTCATCCATATCAAACATTAAATACCGAAGGGTACACTTGCACGACATAAAAACAAAAGAGTTTCTAGCTAGGACTACTAATTTTAATGTAACGCCTAACCATTACTATTTCAGATGAGATCCGTAGGGACTTGAAGTACTTCTTCTGTCATGACGCGTACTAGTAATAATCATAACAAAGGTAGAATATATCAGTCTTTCGAAGATAATTGAATACTCCCTCTATTTCAAAATGTTTGACACCATTAATTTTTTATACATGTTTGACCGTTCGTCTTATTAAAAA